TTCGCCAAACAACAGAAATTAAGATTCTCTTTAAAACATTGTTAAAATAGAAGTGGGGTTCATCGGAAATCCATGCATCAGTAAAATTTTCAGACTCGGGTCTAATTAAAATCTATAGGTAAACTCTAAGGACTTCTAATTTCTGTCTCTTTCAAATGCTGCATTGAACTTATCTTGTAAGGAATCAATTAATTTTAAAGTTTAAAATTAATTATAAATGAAAGTTTATGTTAAACTTTCATTTTCCATTGAGGCCCCACCCTACACCTGGGAGTCATGATTTGAAATAAAAGTGAATCTACATCACCTGAGGATGCTGTCATTTTAATTTGACCAATCATTGCTTTGCTGTTCATTAGAAGAAGATTTTTAAAGATTTTCCCCTCTATATTCCTATGTTAAACTTTGATCGTCCATTGTGGCCCCACCCCATCCTCCGGGCTCATGTTTTGAACAAACTTGAATCTACACCACCTGACTAAGCCACTATATAAACAAGACCAACCATGGCTTTGATGTTCTTGTGAAGAAGATTTTTAAAGATTTTTCCTTTATATTTCTATGTAAAAGTGTGATCGTCCATTACGGTCCCAGCCTATCTCCGAGGGTCATGATTTGTATAAACTTGAATCTACACTACCTGCAGATGCTTCCCTATGAATATGACCAACCATGGCTTAGCTTTTCTTGAGGAGAAAATTTGTAAAGATTTTACCGATATATTCCTATGTTTAACTTTGATCGTCCATTATGGTCCCACCTTACCCCGGGGTCATGTTTTGAATAAACTTAAATCTACACCACCTGCGGATGCTTCCAAATAAATATCACCAATCATGGCTTTGTTGTTCTTGAGAAGAAGATGTTTAAAGATTTTCTCCCATATATTCATATGTAAAACTTTGATCAGCCATTGTGGCCCCGCCCTATCCCCAGGGTCATGATTTGAACAGACTTGAATCTGCACTACCTGAAAATGCTTCCACATGAGTTTCATCTTTCCTGCCCAGTGGTTCTCGAGAATAAGATTTTAAAAAGATGCCACTAATTTTTCGCTGATTCATAATTATTTCCCCTTAAAAGAAGGCATGACCCTTCATTTGTATAAACTTTAATTAATCCCATTCACCCAAGGATACTCTGTGCCAAGTTTGAGTTCTGGAGAAGAAGATGATAATGTGAAAAGTTTACGACAACAACGACGCCAACATAAACGACGACGGCAAAAAAAGGACAAATTTTGATCAGAAATTTCACTAGAGCCTATGCTCAGGTGAGCTACTAATTTATTTGAACCAATGCGTGAAATCTTAAAAACTCCATGTAAAATTGGCGTGTTCTTAATTTGTCCACTACCGAAAAAATATTCAGGGGACGATGGGTTTATTTTCAGATATAAGACCTATTTTGACACGCTTGCAAATTAAGAGATGATATATTATATCTGTGTGTCCGCCATGATGAGTTACATATCAACTTTGCATTTCATGCGTTTTGTGAATTTCGTCTGATTTTTGGCCTTTGAACATAGAGTGATAAATTTCAAGGGATCTGGACTAATTTTGGTAGGTTGATCTCTGTGCAATAGGTTTTCCTCTTATGGTTTTGGTTCAATTTCAGTTTAATGAATGAAAATAGCACGTGAATATCTAACATATAATTATAAGAATGAAATATTAACCCTCTGGCTGCGACGTCAGTGTACAGAAATTATAACGTCACTGCGAGATTAAAACGACGTCACAATTTCTTTGATATTATTTTGCGCGATTTTCAATTTTTCACGTTTACGCTAAGTGCGCGTCATATACAGGAATGCATACATTGAAATTAATTACTTTTTCAGGTCAACAATATTATTTCAAGGTTTATTCTCTCTTCTCTCTCTCTCCCTCTATTAAATGAATTTATATGCATAATTCTTTTATATGCGATAAATACATATAATTTTGATTAAGAAAAAATTCTTATCGATATCCCAAAGGAATTCAAATCGACTTATTAATTTTTACTAGTATTGAAAATTTGTTGAGCACTTGTTGAATATAAAAAAGAAACATTGTTTGGCTCTACAGAATTTATTTCTCATTTTATTCTTCGTCTCCATTTAAGTTCCTCACGGTGTGGTGTCTCTTGAAACATTTTACACAAAGTCCAACTTTACATGGAGCGCACCACGTTCGAACTTTACTTTTGCACCCCATGCAAATTTTTCTCTTCATTCCTAAATTGAATAAAAGCAAAAGTTAATTTTTTTAAGAACCCCCCCCCCCCCCAAAAAAGTATAATAGGACAATATTTTTATAAATCTGTATTTTTTTAAAACTCATTAATTGTAGCAGGTGTATAAATAGTCAGCCAATTTTGAAGTTATATTTACTTTCTATGCATGTCAATTGATCGTGGCTTTTAATGTCTGATTATGATAAACCAAAAATAACGAAGAAATCTACCATCCATTTGTTCAATAAAATGTCTTTCTCTCAATCTGGCCAAAGGGCAGAGACTTGACCTTCCGGCCTGGCGTTTTTCTTGGCGGAAATCCCCGATAAGGCCCATGCATACCAACATGTAAAAATCTATCCGGCTCATTTTGGTGCGCAATCCCCTGTTTTGCCGATAAATGATATAGGCATTGGCTAAAAAGATGTTTAATTAAATTTAATTCTTAGTTTCGGAACACTTTTTAAAATTCATTCATTTGGATATTTTTCATCAAATTATTTCTGTAATTCAATATAAGGTTCAAGACCGATGTGCAAGTCCGGTAGAAATATGTTTTCATTTCTTTCAGATGCAAAATTGTATAAATTTTATATTATTCAACGGAGTCAATTATTGACATACATAAAATTCTCAGGAGAAAATTAATGAGGATTTTCTTCCACATTTTGTTGGATCTGACGTCAGGGTCGTATAATTCAAGTGCTTTGTCCGACAAGTCGACACCGCCCATCTTCTTGTTGTAAACAAGATTGACCTCAGGAACATCAACTTCTACCCCTCTCGCATTTTGTGTGGAAATAATGCTGTGAAGTTCAAGTATATGTACGAACAATATATCATTATATGAGAGCACAAGTGTATTAAGAAAAGAATATAGAACAAAAAACCTTATAAAGGCCTAGTTTTAAATTATGATATTTTGATTAACGAGACTTTTTTCATTTCCATTATGACATTGAATTTAAAGTCAAATAATTCATAATTTTTATTTTGGAAAAGAGTACATTGTAAATAAGAAAATGAAAACTCCTATGGTAGTAAAGATTCAAGTTTGTTCAAATCATGACCATGAGAGTAGGGTGGGGCCACAATAAGGTATCAAATTTTAACATGAATATTTTGGAAAAATCATTGAAAAAATATTGCTCTGAAGAACAGCAACGCCATGATTGTTCATAGCTATATGGAAACATCCTCCAGTAATGTAGATTTAAGTTTGTTCAAATCAGGATTCCACGGGGTGGGGTGACTCAACACTTGGATATCAAAGCTTAACATAGGAATACAAAAGAAATATCTTCTTCTCAAAAACTGCAAGGCCATGATAAGTCATTTAAGAAATAAGATATCGTTTTTAGAGGTTCATTGGGGTATCAAATTCTTTAACGCCCGAAAGGCGTTATAGTAGATTTGATCACGTACCGACTTCATGACTTCATGTCATGAATTAAACTCTAAAAAATGATATTTTATTTCTTATATTTAAAATTTACGTTTTCATTCATGTTACAAAGAAATATAGGCATTATACAGACTTTGATTTTGAAATGTAACAGAACGTATCTACGACGTCATATGACGTCACAATCGGAATTTTCCAAATGGCTCGTGCAGTTTGCTTTTCATACTCAAGAAAGTCTGATCATATGACCAACTGCATGTCATTGAAAATTGAATTTCAGTTTTATTAGCATTGTTATATAAAGAAAGACATCAGCAAATGTAAATATAATTATATGAAAGAAATATTAAATGAAAAGGAAAAGAGTAAGTAAAAAAAATGACAACTCACGTGGAAGCATCCTCCGGTAGTGTAGATTCAAATTTGCACATATCATGACCCCTGGGGCTAGGGTGGATCCATAATGGGTGATCAAAGTTTGGAGTGAAACATATGGAGATAACGAACAGTATTCAAGATCAAAATTACATTAAACAATGCCAAATAGGAGCAGAGCAAACACGGACCTCTAAACCATCGGAGATCGGATCAGGTGCCATGGAGGAGTAAAAAAAAATCTTTAAATAAAAAAATGTTCTTCTTGAGAACAACAAAGCTGTGATTGGTCATATTTATATGGAAGCATTCTAGGGTAGAGTAGATTCAAGTTTGAAGACAGACCCCCCCGAAGGTTGAGTAGGGCCATAATAGGTGAAAATCATTTAATATTCTTCATAAAAACAAGAAAGCAGTGATTGATCTTCGAATATAAAAGCATCAAAAAGGTAATGTAGATTTAAATTTGTTCAAATCATGACCAAGCAGGAGAATAGAGGAGCTATTAAAATGGATCATAATTATAGAAAGGAATATTAAGGCTTTATCAATAAAAAAATCTTTTAAATAACAAAGCTGCTGTCATATTAATTCAAAAGCGTTCTTAGGAAGTGTAAATTTAAGTTTTTTTTCAAAAACCCTGAACCCCCTTTTATATTCAAACTTTTCAATTCTGAACTGATATTTGCTTTTACAAAGCCAGTTGCTCAGATGAGCAATGTGGTCCCTGACTCCCTGCAGAACCGCCTGTCTTGTTAAACAAAGATAGTTAAAGATACATTTCTCATTGACAAATTATGACATATATCTATAATAGATAATATAGAGAAGTTTGTAAGAAAACTACAACATTGTGGAAGTTGAAATTGACATGATGAGATGAGAATAAAAAATCCCACCAAACTTCAGGAAAATTTTTAAATTATGTCTTCTCGAAAGGGTACCTAAAAGTCCGGACTTTGTCGTGTCCGGACTTAAATGTCGCACTGTTTATTGCTCGTGCTTTCCTATCTCCTTTTGTACAGATCAACAAGCTGACAGACAACTGACAGACAACTGAAAATCACAAAAGTTTAGTAGACATATTTTGTATGTAATTGTGTCACAAAATTTCAAACACGGATTTCATTATGTTAACCATTTATTATTTTAATGCCTTTCGCTCATAATTATCAGAGGCAATTTTTCTTAAAGATCAATAAACTTTCTTTGTCAGATCTTCCAGCCAGAAAAGCAGGCATTCTTATATATACCGCTCTCGATGCGCCCAAGAGGTTGAAATGTAGGATTGGTTCGAATCATGACAACATCGTGTTCATTCAAGGATATCACCGCTACACCAGTTGTTGTGATTCCACCGCTACCATATGGGTCTGTTTTCCCCTTTACTTCTCCATTCACGATTAGTTGGAAAGGAATGTCACCATTATAGATTGGTGTTACCCAGCTAAAAACATAAATTCCTGAAATCGGGGCTATATACGTTCCACTGTGTTTTTCGTATGCTGAGTGGGTGTCTGTTATTACTATGTTAAATGCAAGCTCATGACTAGTTCCAAGATGCTCCACGTTATGGTCAAAGCAGACATGAAAAGCAATTGTTTCTGAAATGGGTATACGTTTCTCGATAAGATGACCTGAAAAAAAAACACCAAAGTTTTTCCTTAATTCAATGTAGATTATTGGTAAGCTTGAAGATTAGAATCATTTATATTTAAGATAAGAAGTTGCTCAATAATAATTTAAGAAAACAAGAGGCCCAAGTGCCTTGAATCGCTCTTCTCATAAATTGTACAATCTAACACTTCTATTTGAAGCCTCTAAGAATCCTGTATATTCAAATAAAGCTTTGAAATTCCAAAATATGTAGGTCATCATGACCTACATTTTGGTTCAAACACTCTTGAGACCCCATGAATAATTAACTGACAAAGAGTGATGATTTTAAGCCCCATATTATCTGAAATATTAAGATATAGCCACGAGATTTCAAAAATAGGTCACAGTGACCTGCTTTTTGGTATTTACTCTGAGACCCCAAAATGCCTCAAAAGAAAAGTTTTATTGTCTTAAGACTCTTATTATTTGAAATATATATCATGGCCTATTTTTATTAATCAAATTCTGAGGAACAAAGATGATCAACTGACAGAGTTCGATGAATCTTAGCATATGGGTACACGAAATACTTTAAAATTTCCAAAAAATTCAAAAGTAAGTCAATGTGACCTACGTTCCAGTTGATGTTCTCCGAAGACTCAAGATGACAAAGTTTGATGATTCTTAGTCAATTTGGCCCAGAGATATTTAAATATAGCCAGAACATTCCATCAGTAGGTCATGGTGACCTACGTTGTTGCAATTTTCCGAGGACGCGAGATGCACTGAATAAATGACAAAGATTAATGATTCTAAGCCATTTAAGACCTGAAATATTTAAATATAGCCGTACATTTTTAAGTAGGTCATCATGGCCTATTTTTTAAAAAAAATTCAAGGACCAAAGATACATTAATTGACAAAGATTGTAGATTCTAGGTCAATAAGGACCTGAAATAATTAAATATAGCCATAAAAGAATGGATGGACTTAACAGGCCATAAAAAATGCCGTAAATTTAAGTTTCATAAAATGAATATTTTTTCCATCATTAAAACCCCCTTTATCTTAACCTTGTATCCATGGTACAGATGTGAAAGTAAATAGATGCATCAACTGGCAAAGTTTGATGATTCTAAGGCAATAATTACCTGAGATATTTAAATAAAACCATAAAATTAAAAAAAAATAGGTCACTGTGACCTTTTTAATTAACGTTCTCTGATGACACAAGATACGTAGACTGACAAATTTTGATGGTAATAGGTCTGAAAGTAAGTATCCGAAATATCAATTCTCGCTTATTTGTTTACTTTAAAAAAGTATGAATTTAATTAGCGTTTTTTACGCGTTATAAAGCAACTTCATGTCGCTATCTATTTTACTTTGTCATGCATCCTCTTCTACGTGTACTCATTAATTGACAATTTCTTTTTACTTGAAAACGAAAATTTATTTTGATACTTTTCATACTTTGTGTGTTCTGTTTCCATCTACATCAAAAATAATAGAAGGAAATGTGCAAATCTATTGTATTTGTCAGTATTTTTTTTTTAAATTAGATTTTCATCCAATATTTATACTGGCCTAAATAGAATATTTTGTCTTCTACAAAACAAGCAAGAAATAGTTATGATTAAACAATAGGAATGCACCTAAATGCTTGAATACTTGGTCTTTGACAAAGCTATGACTTTTTAAAATGTTATTTTTTAGTATAAGTAAAATTGAAACTCAGTTACTGAAAATGTGTAGGCAAAATGTAACTAGCAGGATGAATAATGACCAAAGAACCTTTGAAACGAAATACACTATAAGTATATGAAGTATATCGAAAGGAAAAAAAAAATTTTCAACACAGGTATCCGTGTTTGATTATGTTTTCCAAATGAATATATGGAGGTAATTATAACGAGAAGTATTCAAGCCTAAAAGTGCATTAAATAATATAAATTTTGGAGGAAAGTAAACATCAGTGATGGGATCAGGTGCCATGGATGAGTGAATGTCAGAATCTACAAACAGGAATCCTCTATATTTAAATGTTAAATGTTAAAGTAGCTTCTCCTTATACTTATTTATATAAAGAATTTTCTCCAGAAAGTGTCAAAAATTGTAATCATAATATTGTAAATACCATTTGAAACCATGGTGTTGTTACATAAATGATCCAAATAGCTCATATGTTTTGCAGCATTTCTTACTTCTGTTGCAAGTTGGCCAAGGATTTGCCTCTCTGAAAAAAAATAAAAATTTTCTATTTAGAATGTTTTTAGAGATGATATATGATTATATTTACGTGTGAAATGCTATTGCAATATATACGACGATTGTTCGAAAAGTTCGTGGACTTCTGTCATATCTTTTTTATTTGACGCCTTATGTTATCCAAATTTGATAGATATATTTTAACAG